TTTTTCTTCTAACTCTGTGCTGCATAGGTAACTATTTTAGAAGGTATTGGCTCTCCTGTCACCTCAGATCAGAGGAAAGGTGGAGGGTGCCTCTCCTGAAGAAGCATGGTGTTGCCCCTTGGATTTGAGTACACTTCTGTAGTCGCCAGGTCTAGACCGACCCATATGCTTGAGCCACTATTGCCGGCTATTCCTCCAACTCTCATTCAGAGGTGCCCTCTAACTGCAGTTCACAAGCGACAACCACAGCAGCATAGCTAACCAGACCATGGCTCCATCGAAAACCTGACTCACTTTATCAAAGGGATGGCCAGAGGCCTCCACGCACCTCATAGCTGAAGTAGAAGTAACCCATCCGTTCAGCAAACTGCCAGAAACATTCTGTGTCTCCTGGTTGGATCATGATGGCAAAGTCATGTCGATCAGCTCCACGGAAGAGTGGTTGGTCCTCAGAGCCAGTTAGGGGGTCTGTTGCCTGGCTCTTAGCAGAAGTCACTAGGCTCAGAACCATCAGCCTAGCCACAAGGAGCAAAGGGAACATGCTGCCTTCTGTGACTTCTTCTGCAGGTGACTGCTCACAGTCCTGTGGGAAGATTAGACCGCATCTGGCTAATCATTAACCCCACGAGTCACAGTTAGCACCAATTTCAGGGCCATCATAGATATTCTGCAATACAGGTGCTATGTCTGCCTCCTTCCCCCACCCCCCACCTTGGCTCACAGATAGATTTTGCTTCCACCTCAAGAAAGTGGCTTGCTGGATCTGGTTAATGGGTTCTAGAAAAGCACTGTATCAGAAGAGAGGTTTCCATCCATTCTTTGTGCTGTTTTCTCAGTTCTTGTCTATTGTAGATTAAATGTGTGGCAAGTTAATTTATAGCCATTGTGCATACTGACAAGAGCCGGCCGAGGTGAGGTTTCTCTTATATCAAATGGCTAGGTGCCACTTACTGTCTATTCAACACCAGGGTAGCATCTGGCCAACAGATTTTGTGGCTAGACCGAAGCACAGCACATGCATGCATACAAAAGGTATTTTTCTCACTTTTTTGGGGGATGAGATGGGGTGCAGGGTGTCCTATGTAGACTGGACTATTTTTTAAAGGTGTTTTTTTTTATGTATATGGGTGTTGTGTCTACATGTATGTGGTAGATATACTGTGTACCCTAATAAACTTGCCTGAGGATCAGAGGACAGAGCCAGCCACTAGATTAGACATAGAGGTCAGGCAGTGGTGGCACACACCCTTAATCCTATCACTAGGGAGGCAGAGATCAGTCTGGATCTGTGTAAATTCAAGGCCACACTGGAAACAGAGCCAAGAAGTGGTGTCACACATCTTTAATTGTAGTATTGGGAAGCACACATGCCTTTAATCCAAGGGAGTGATGTCTGGGCAGAGAAAGGTATGTAAGTCGTGAGCAAATAGGAACTCACTCTCTTTAAGCTGAGGATTTTGTAGAGGTAAGAACTAGTGGCTGGCTGTTCTGCTTCTCTGAACTTTCAGCTTTCACCCTGATATCTGGCTCTGGGTTTTTTATTAAAAGACCATCTAGATTCAAACAACACATGTATATCTGCACACCAGAAGAGGGCATTGGATCCCATAGGATAGTTATAGAAGGTTGTGAGCCTCCATGTGGGTTCAATTCCTGCACCAAGGACCTCCAAAAGAGTAGCTAGTGCTCTTAACCACTGCTCTCTCTAGCCCCTAGACTGGTCTGGAACTCCAAGATCTGCCTGCTCCTGCATGCTGAGATTAAAGGCATATGTCACCAAGCCCAGCTACATAAAAGTTTTCATATATGAAGAAGTGTTGGCTAGTTTTATGTCAACTTGACACAAGCTAAAAAAAAAAAAAAAAAAAAAAAAAGCCGGGCGGTGGTGGCGCACGCCTGTAATCCTGTAATCCCAGCACTCGGGAGGCAGAGGCAGGTAGATCTCTGTGAGTTTGAGGCCAGCCTGGTCTACAGAGCTAGTTGCAGGACAGGCTCCAAAGCTACAGAGAAACGCTGTCTCGAAAAACAAAAAACAAAACAAAACAAAAAAAAATGGAGAAAAAGCCAATAAGCAGCATTCCTCCACAGCCTCTGCATCAGCTCCTGCCTCCAGATTCCTGCCGTTTGAGTTCCTGCCCTGACTTCCTTTGAAGATGAACAGTGATGTGGAAGCATAAGCCAAACACACCCTTTGCTCCCGGAGTTGCTCTTGGTCATGGTGTTTATCACAGGAATAGAAACCCAGACTAGGAGAGTGAACAGGAAGGTGGTCTACACTCTGCCGAGTCTCTCCTGCTGATTTCCACTGGTCTATCTAAAGCTCTCCAAAACCCTCTGAAAGATGATATTGTTTAAATCTTCCTTCTCTTCTTTTTTTCATGACTTCTTCAGCACCCACAGGGAGGGAAAGGCTGTCCAACATCCACTTTAATACCATTATACAGTCCAATCTTAAAACTGTCACATATCCCAGTCTTCAGTCTCCTATTCACGGCTTCAACATCCACTGATTCTGTTACAGGCACTGAACTCAAAATTTCACCATTTTCTTTCATCCTCACAATAGCACTCCAGGGAGATACTGTCATCTACTATGTTGGAGTTGAGGACAGTGACACAAACCTGAATAGCTCATGGTCCCACAGAAATAGTTGGCATAGCTGGAGTCCTTATGTTCTAAGAGTTTCTCTAGCTGTTGGGTCCCAAATTCTGACCATCTGTAACTTGGGGGCAGGTGAAATAGGATCTCACAGTGTAGCCCAAGCTGGCCTACCATTTATGATCTGTTGCCTCCACATCCCAAGTATTGGAATTTTAGATGGGTACCTCCGGGCTTCTTAATGTTTTTATTTCAGGTGGTGGTTTGAGTAGTAAATGTCCCCCAGATAGTCTTGGGCATTTGAATACTTGGTTCCCAGTTGGTGGCACTGTTTGGGGAGGCTTATGAGGTGGTGTGGCCTTGCTGGAGGAAGCATGTCACTAGGGATGAGCCTCTCCTAGATTTTTCTTTTCTTTTTGAAACTGGGTCTACCCTAGAACTCACTCTGTAGACCAGGCTGGGCTTGAACTCAGAGATCTTCCTGCTTCTGCCTCCCAAGTGCTGAGATTAAAGGATTATGGCCGACTCTCTCTGCTTGGTGCTTGTGGTTCAAGATGTGAACCCTTAGTTTCTGCTCCAGATGCCATGACTGCTGTTTGCCGCAATGCCTGCCTCCCATGATGGATTGTTTGGTTTTTTGAGACAGGGTTTCTCTGTGCAGCCCTGGCTGTCCTGGAGCTCAACCCACTCTGTAGACCAGGCTGGCCTGGAACTCAGAGATCCACCTGCCTCTCCATCCCAGTGCTGGGATTAAAGGCGTGTGCCACAGCTGCGTGGTCATGATGGATTCTTTATACCTCTAGAACCCTAAGCCTAAATAAACCCTTTCTTCTGTAAGTTGCCTTGGTCATGGTGTTTTCCAGCAATGGAAAAGTAACTAATACAGTCTTTAAAAAACTACAGGGGCCGGGCGGTGGTGGCGCACGCCTTTAATCCCAGCACTCGGGAGGCAGAGCCAGGCGGATCTCTGTGAGTTCGAGGCCAGCCTGGTCTCCAAAGGGAATTCCAGGAAAGGCGCAAAGCTACACAGAGAAACCCTGTCTCAAAAAAACCAAAAAAAAAAAAAAAACTACAGGGAAGGGGGATCATCTTCTTCAGTAGGACACTACTGAGAAGTTGCCTTGCTCTAGAACAGAGAGAGAGAGAGGGAGAGAGGGAGGGAGGGAGAAAGAGAGAGAGAGAGAGAGAGAGAGAGAGAGAGAGAGAGAGAGAGAGAGAGAAAGAGAGAGAAGGAGGAGGAGGAGGAGGAGGAGGAGGAGGAGGAGGAGCATTTAAAGCACTTAAAAAACACTCCACCAGCCGGGCGGTGGTGGTGCACGCCTTTAATCCCAGCACTCGGGAGGCAGAGCCAGGCGGATCTCTGTGAGTTCGAGGCCAGCGTGGACTACCAAGTGAGTCCCAGGAAAGGCGCAAAGCTACACAGAGAAACCCTGTCTCGAAAAACCAAAAAAAAAAACAAAACAAAAAAAAACACTCCGCCAGGCGGTGGGACACCTTTAATCCCAACACTGGGGAGGCAGAGGCAGATAGATCTCTGTGAGGTCGAGGCCAGTCTGGTCTTCAGATCGAGTTCCAGGAAACAAAATCAAAATACACTGTATTGGCACCTTTAAACTAAGAATTTCTCAGAATTCATCCCACTGGCTCCAAGTGTTAACAAGCAGACAACAGACTTCAGTTCCACTGAAGCCACAGCAACCATCTCACCATCTGGGAGGCCTGGTTGCTCTGGGGGTAGTTTTAAGGCAGGGGAGCCTAGGACTACCTCATTCTACAGGGACACAGATTTCTCTGTCAAGTTCCACTGCCAGCATGGTCTTAACATCACTTAAGTTACAAGCAGCACCCACAGAAAATTCTATAGTTCGGAAGTTGTTTCAGGAGCCCCGTACAAACAGTGAAGTCCTGTGGAAACACGACAAATGTTAACTGAGAATTCACCAGTCTCAGCCTTCTCCCTGGAAAGAGCCTCTAAGGACAGGATTTGAGGGCAAGAGGTCGTGACTCCAATCAGGGCTGGAGGGAGGCACGGCACTGAGCAGCTCCGGGTCTCACTTCCCTGTGGCTTCATGTGTTGGCTGGTTAAGAGGGCAGGAGTACCAAATGCCACACACACACAGTGACAGGTTCTGAACCCACACTTTCCACACTTCAGTTAAGTTCAAGACTTAATGGAAACTTCCACACATCTCTAAACCTGCCTAGCACTCACTCAGAAGACAGGAAGCAGGGACTGTTTAGTCCCTAGATAAAGTGATCCTTCGAGACATCCACAGCCTGTGTGACAGGGCATCCAAGGACTGGAGCGGCCTCACAGCAGCTCAGGAGCAGGTGAGGCGGCCTGTAGACCCCACTGCCCACCTGAGAACATGCTGCACCGCAATTAACCAGCTCCGGAAGCTTGAGAAGCAAGACTTTAATGAAGAACGCTAGAGTAGAACAGTTCATTCTCATAGTAAAAAAGATTACAGAAAACACTTCACTGAACTTTTTGTTTTTTGTTTTGCTAAAAAGACAGTTTTTAAGGGTGTCTGAAAGACAGCAAGCACAACACTGTACAAAAGGGAAGGGTGTTGGATTCCGGTGCAAGACACGACCACAGCACGACCAGGGAAGTGTGGAGCAACCACTTCACAGAGGGTGAGTTAGGCATTGGATTCAACCAGGACTGATTTTTAAGCTTTAAAAGTTCAGCATAAGGAAGGGCTCTGAGGAGGAGGTGGATGGGGGTGGGAGCTAAGCTTTATCTACAATCACCACTTTACCAAACACACACTTGTAACCACATGAGAAGTGTGGAGGGTAAACCTGCCATGAAGCCCAGCACACGTTAACAGGGATGCCAGGCAGTCAGGTCCAGGGCTGATGATACAAGTGGTTCAACAGTTTTCAAAGGAAGCAGGTTCCACGAGGACTGACCTCTCAACACACAGCGTTCCTTTGTTCTCGAGTCAGGAGGCCAAAACTCAACAAGGATTAAGTTCATTCCAGATAATGCTCACACTGCTGGTTTGAACAGGTCATGGGATCATAAGTACTCCTAAAGGATTCCATCATTTCTTAGGAGAAGGTTCTATGGATTACTGGGGATTCAAATCGAAGCAAACCACTAAAGGGGAACGAACGCTAACGATATTCTGCACTGTACAAGCTGTGTGCCTGTCGCTTCTACTGCAGATGTGGGGTAGACTTGGCTTTGCTTCTCAGCTCCATGATCTCCAACAGTGATGCGAGTGTTCATGGGACCTCCCTGGACAGAAAGAGGCTGCCCACAATTCTCATCTCAGTCCAGCTTCTGAAAGAGACATCAGAGCATCAACGACGATTACGCAGAACCATGTTCTTGTGAATCCTGTGGAAATGAGAGGCCTTTTCAGTTCATGCCAAGTTTTTTCATGGTCCGCCAGCGATCTTTGATCATCACAGCTGTTCGGTTAATAAAGGGGTAACTTTTGGAAATGGCAACCCAGTTTCCTTCCCCATACTTCTGCACTCCGGCCTTCACCCACTCGCTTTCTTCTATGGTCCACTTCTGCAAAAGAAAACCATAAAACCTGTCAAAATTGTCGTCACTTACCTCTTTTCCACATACTGATGAGGTAATCAAAGCAAAAAATCCTATGAGAATACTTGGAACCCAAAAACACAGTATGAGCTGGGCAATGGTGGCGCACACCTTTAAGTCCCAGCATTTGGGAGGCAGAGGCAGGCGGATCTCTTTTGCAAGGACAGCCAGAGCTACAGAGACAGACGTGGTCTAAAAACCAAACCAAACACTGTGGGTCTGGATAACTAGTAATCATCAATGTTCTGACATGCCATTCTTTATTGATAATCACTGCTGGGGGGCTGGAGAGATGCTCAGTGGTCATGAGCACTTGATGCTCTTGCAGAGGACCCTGGTTTCTTTTCCTGCATTTGTATGGTGGATCACAGTCATCTGTAAACTCCAATTTCAGGGGATCAGATTCCTCTTCTGGCTTCCTGGGGTACTGTACACACATGGTACATAGCCATACATGCAGGCAAAACACTCACACAAAGAAAAAAAAAGCTAAAACACCAAAAAACCACTGAAACTTAAAAATAAGAAAAGTAAAGGACGAGGGCACAGCTCAGGGGCACAGTGCTCACCAAGCATGTGTGAGGGCTTAATCCCTAGTACCAAAAACCAAACAACCAACCCACTGTTGGACCTTAGTTTGAACTGTCTTAAGAGGTCTTTTTACCAGGTATACCGGTAATCTTGGCCTGAGAAGGGAAACTTACTTTACCTGTTCCCATCAGAAAAGAGTCTTAAGGGCTGGAGAGATGGCACAGCACTGACTGGCCTTCCGGAGGACCTGGTTCCATCCCCAGCACCCACACCATAGCTCAAAACCATCTGTAATGGAACTCCAGCTTCCGGTGATCTGATGCCCTCTCTGGCCTCTGCACACACCAGGCACACACATGGTACACAGATACACCCAATTTTGGTTTCCAGCACCATCATCAGGTGGCTATCGGTCATTTGCAACTCCAACTCTGGAGGAATCTGACACCCTCATCTAGATTCCACGGGCACTGCAGTCACATGCACAAGCGCGCACACATATATAATTAAAAATAAAATCTTACACGTAGGCAAAACATCCACACACACCAAGTTTAAACAAGTTTCTACTTACCTGCTTTCTTGTTAAAGTGGCTGACTTGTCTTCATCTGGCGCTGTTGGAAAACATGAAAAGCATATTCAGTTTAGAATTCACATGAAGGAAACAGAACATCCCCAAAGGGAAAACTTGATTTCAGTTTCACAGGCACTGAAGGCTGGGTAGGCAGCTCAGTGCTAGCGTGACTGCCCAGCTTGAATAAGATGGAGTGTGATCCCCAGAATGGCAAAACCAGAACAAAACAAACTTCACTAATGCTGAGAATTCCAAGGACATCACGAAAGAGTAATTTCTTCTGTTTTTTATTTGCATTCACTTCAGGTTCTGAGAATCTGTACAAAGAAGGGTTTTATAAACAGACCTGCAAAAATTGTTTGTTTTAAGGTGTTTTTGAGACAGGGTTTTTCTGTGTAGTTCTGCCTGTCCTGGAACTCACTCTGCAGACCAGGCTGGCGTTGAACTCAAGAGATCCACCTCCCCAATGCTGGGATTAAAGGAGTGCACCACCACCTCCTGGCCTATATCAAACTTTTAAGTGGTTTTAGAAAGTAATGGTTTTGGGGGTTGGGGATTTAGCTCAGTGGTAGTGTGCTTGCTAGGCAAGCGCTAGGCCCTGGGTTCGGTCCTCAGCTCTAGGGAAAAAAAAGAAAAAGAAAAAGAAAATAATGGTTTTGGTAAAGAGTTTGAAGTCTGTTATTAATCAAAATTTATTGGAACTGGGCAGTGGTGGCACACACCTTTAATTCCAGCACTCAGGAGGCAGGGCAGGAGGATCTCTGAGTTTGAAGCCAGCCTGGTCTACAGAGTGAGTTCCAAGACAGCCAGGGCTACACAGAGAAATCCATCTTGAAAAAAAAAAAGTTTAGCCGGGCGGTGGTGGCGCACGCCTTTAATCCCAGCACTCGGGAGGCAGAGCCAGGCGGATCTCTGTGAGTTCGAGGCCAGCCTGGGCTACCAAGTGAGTTCCAGGACAGGCGCAAAGCTACACAGAGAAACACTGTCTCGAAAAACCAAAAAAAAAAAAAAAAAAAAAAAAAGAAAAAAAAAAGTTTAATAAAGGGCTGAAACATAGCTCAGTGGTAGTGTGTGTGTCTAGCATGCACAAGAGGCTAAATTCCATGGCAAAATATCAAAATACAAATTTAGGGCTGGGGAGATGGCTCAGCTCTTTGAGAAGACCAAAGTTTGGTTTCTAGTACCTGCCCCAAGTGGCTCTCAATAATTTGTAACTCCAACTCTGGGGATCCGACACCCTCTTATGGATTCCGTGGGCACTGAAGTCACATGCACAAGCCCATACACACATACATAATTAAAAATACAATCTTACAAAGATTTACTACATATGTGCATATATACATGGCTGTGTATACTCCCTGATTTACAATCCCTTGACAACTACTGCTTTGAAATATCATCACTTTACTGTTTTTCTGCTAAGAATTTAAGTTCCTTGGGAGCTGGCAAGGTAGCTCAGTAGGTAAGAGGATGTGTGGCCAAGCTGACGACCTGAGTTCAATCCTCAGGACCCACATGGAGGATGAAGAAAACTGACTCCCTCAAACTATCCTCTGACCTTCACACACAATCCACAGCATGTGTGTGTACAAATAAATGTTTTTTGGTTTTCTGGGACAGGGTTTCTCTGTGTAGCCTTGGCTGAGTCTCACAGAGATCGGTCTGCCTCTGCTGCTTGAGTGCTGGGATTAAAGGGATGCACCACCACTGTCTGGCTAAAATAAGTGTAATTTGTTTTTTTCTTCTTTTTCCCCCCGCTGAAACAGAGTCTCACTATGTAGTCCTAGCTGGCCTCAACTCAGAGAACCTCCTGTCTCTGCCACAGAGTGCTCAGATTAAATCACATGTCAGCCATGCCCAGTCTCTATGAAGGAACTTTAAAACTTTATGAAATTTTAAAATATTTTCACTTTGTATGTATATGTGTGCGGGTGCACTCACACACATAATAAGCAAGAGTGTGGAGAACAGATCGAGTTGAGAGCTGCTGCTCTTTACACTATGTGGGGTCTGAGGACTGAACTTGGCTCAACTGACTTGGCAGCAGGTGCCTTTACCCAGAGTCATCTTGCTGGCCCCTATGGAGGTACTTTTTAAGGACAACCTTTGGCACTGGGAAAGAATTACTGTTACTATTACAAGTCTTTACAATTCTCCAAATGAAGGTTTAGCATCTAGCTATTTCTATTAGAATGTAAAATATGTAGTGGAGAAGACTCTAAAACAAATGCTAAGAGCTTTAGATGTAATCACATAGAGTAAATTTTCCTATCCTATCACCTATGCATAGAAACTGGTCACGCATCTTTTTCTTTTCACTTAGACTGGGGATGTAGCTCAGCACACACACCAGAGACTTATTTTAAGAAATACAGAGGCCAGGGAGATGGCTTGGCAGGTAAAAGCACCTGCTGCCAAGTCTGATGACCTGAATTTGATCTCTGGGACTTATAGGGTAGGAGAAAACAGACCCCTCCAAGTTGTCCTGACTCCCACATGCCACCTCCTCACCCACACAAAAAATAAGTAAGTACAATGGAATTAAAAAAAAATTTAATACAGGAGACCTAGCACTCAGGAGACAGGCAGGTGCATGGATCTGTGAGTTTGAGGTTAGCCTAGTCTACACAGAGTTTAAGTCCAGCCAGGACTACACAGTGAGGCCCTGTCTCCAAATTAAACAAACAGAAAAAACCAGGTGTGATAATGGATGACCATAATCCCAGCACTTTGGAAGCAGGGGCATGAAGGCTGGAAGTTCAAGACCATCTTCAGCTGCTACCCAGGAAGTCCAAGGACATACTGGACTACATGAGACCCTGTCTCACCAACACCCTGCCAAGGGAAAAAAAAATACAGAGAGCCAAATGCAGCTACATGCTGTGATTCCAGCACCTGGGAGGCTGAGGCAGGAAGATCCTGAATTGAGACCAGCTTGGGCTCCACTGCAAGACCCTGTTGCAACAAAACAAACACAATCTGACCCCTGATGATTCAAAATGAAACCAGGTAACTGGGACACAGACGGCCCTGGAACATGAACGTAACAGAACATGCATCGCACACCAGCAAACATCTGCAAGAGGGCAAGGGAAGTCTGGGACTTACCCCGAACTTCAAACAGCTGGTCCTCTTCCACCCAAATTTCTTTTTCTTCAAGCCCGTTAGGGCTGTTCCACTTGTCTTTGGATACTCTAGGGGAGAGCAACGAAGATAAGTCATGAGAGACTCCCTTCACAAGCTCTGACCTCAGTCCCTCAGTGATCACTCAGGATCCACCACACAATGCTCAAATTCGCTATCATTCTTCCTCGGCCAGCCAGGCATCTCCATACATGAACACCTCCCAGGTTGCAGAGCCACGCCTCAAACTGGGCACCGAGTAAAGTACATTACCATATCGCCATCTCCCTCCAAATCGCTTTCATTTCCTCATTTGTTTAGTTTTCTTTTTCTGATGGTTTTAGATAGGACTATACTCTAAGCACATGCTGGCCCTGAGCGCTCAATCCTCCTGCCTCTCCCTTCTGAGTGCTGGGATTACAGGCATGCATCGACATACCCAGTCACTCGGGGTCCTTTAAAGGTCTCAGCATTTCTCCGACTTAGAGGTGCAAACTCCGGCCTCTCCTTCAGGGCCACACTCTACTGCATTTACACTGACTTTGGTACCCTGCCTATTCCTGGAGTTAAACTCAAGATACCTTGCATCAGTGTTACACTAGCCTTTTCTCCTTCTAAATCCAACATCACAAAAGCATATCGACTGGGCACTGTGGCACATACCTGTAATAACAGTATTTGGGAGACTAAGCTGTGAGAATCCCAAGGTCAAAGCCAGCCTGAAATACGCCATGCCAGACTACATAAACAACAACAGTCTGCACACTCCTCCTCTATGCCCTATGAATCCAGGCCATTCCCTACCTCGGCTCCACCACACCTACCACCACTACACACTGTATCTAATGCTTTGATCCTTTAATACAGATCTTCATGTTGTGGGGACCCCAAACCATAAAATGATTTCATCACTACTTCATAACTGTAACTTTGCTAGTTATGAACTGTAATGTAAGTATCTGATTGTTATGTGACCTCTGGGAAAGGGTCATTTGACCCTCAAGGGGTCATGGCCCACAGGTTGAGAACAGCTGCCCCACAGCAACCCAGGCTGCTCTGTTCCTCTTTACCCAGGAGTACCTTCCCTGCTCAGGAGAGTTACAGGTCCTTCATACTGTAAAAACACATCTTTTTCTTTTTTCCTTTGAGGTAGGGTTGCCCAGACTGGCCTCAAATGTGCTGTATAATCAAGGAGACCTTTATCTTCTGACCCTTCTACCTCCACGCAAGCTGTCACAGGCATGTGCCACCAGGCTGGATGTAGTGCTGAGGGCCAAATGAAGGGCCTCACACACGCTAGGCAAGCATTCTACCAGCTAAGAGGCATCCTCAGCCTAACACTGTCATTCTCAAGGACACCTGTAACTACTGATCCCAGCACAGAAAGCCTCTGCCCCCACCTCTGCCAATCTGAGGCTGTCCACAACCAGTCAAGGTCCCCCCAATTCCTCTTCTGTAGTTTTCCTAAGTACCTACCCAAGTAGCTGAGACAAATGGCGGACAATGTGTGCTGTTAATTCCGATTAGATCTCGAGAGTAACTTACTTGAAACGAGTGGTATCACAAGCCTCCTTTAGTTTTACTGCGGACCGCTATTTACAGAGGCAGGTAACAACCAGGCTCCTGTTTTCAGTTTTCTGCTTTTCTCCGTCCTGACACAGTCAGTTTGAACCTTGGTTCCTGCGGCTACCACTTCCCTGCGCTGCTGTTCTGACCTCTGCCTTTTTCAAAGGTAGGTTACTAGTGACCTGTCTTTCTTCAACTCTCCCTTTGCACAAATGTTTCAGCAGGGCCTGCCTGAGGCCTAAGCACCGGTGTGGTGCCCGACTGCCAATGGCCGTTGTTCACTTCTCACTTGGGGAAGGGGCTGAGCATAGTCTTCCTAGCTGTCAGGGGCCTGTGGTCCTGGGCAAGTCAGGTCATTTCTGGATCTCATATTCCTCACTAGCTAAGTTACAACTTCATGCACACTGGTCTAGTAGGGACTTGTCAAACAGCCTGTGGCTGCTGGGTTTGGTGTCTCCCTCCTCTCCAAGGGAAACCTTAACCCTTAATGTATGTATGGCCTACATACACTTAGGGTGTGTCATCCCTTACATACAAGTTCTAAGAGTCCCTTTTACTTGACTAATAAACTCCTAGCAAATCCCTACTGTGTGCAAGGTGTTGTGGGGCACAGACAGATCTAGGCATACGGCCTTGCCTTTCAGGCAGTTTCCACTAGCTCTGCCTTTCCCTGCTGGGTCCTTCTGCCTGTCTTCCCCAAACTCTCCCTGCTTATCTGTAGCTGTCTCCAGCTCCCTACCCCACCCTCAGTGGTGCCCCACAGGCCAGGGAACAAACATGTTAAAAAAAAAAAAACAAAAAACTTTAAATGTGACCTCTGCAGTTTGAGAAGCTGCCTGCCTGACAGACTGACACTACAAACTTAAGACCTGGCCAGCTGGTCGGTCCCCGCTGCTGCTCTATGCTGTAGTCTCCTGGTGTCCCATGCCCACAGACAAGCTACAATACTGTCTAGAAGTCCTCTGACAAGGCACTTGCTACCTTCCTACTCTTTCAAGGCCAGCTCAACCTTTGTTCTTCTACGGGATGCAGTCCACCCAAGACTTGTCTAAGCGGGCTCAGGAACTCTCCCCCAGCTCACAGGGCACCTCACGCACTTCCTCACGCTGGGCTCACTAGATAGTGTGTGCAGCTTTGCAAGCCTTCCCACCACGGCAGCGGCTGCCACGATTCAAAGTTTCACAGCCATGGACAAGCCCTACCTGCTGGGTGTGGCTATGTTCCATTAAATTTTATTAACAAAACAGGTAGCAGGTGATTTTGTCAACTCTTGCTGCACAGTACCCATCACACTCCAGACCCTGGACATATTACAGCACTGGGTATGTCTGCAACTGTCACACATACTCCCATTTACAATCCTCCTGGCATCCTGAATGCTCCTGTTTCTTCGTCTGCTCATGGGGCAGTATCTACACAGGGCTTCTCTGAGAAATAAACGGATCATGTATCAAAGGAGGACAAGGTATGTAGAGCTGCCATTAACTATGTCTGCCAGTGACTCGTTTCTCAAGGCGAGAGTGGTACATATAGTGCAAATCTGTCCGGAGGAAACCATGTTACCACATGCCATGGCCTTCACATTGCAGATCAGAGCAGGGTTCTCCAAACAATCCCAACACATAGCAGTGCACAGAGATGGCAATGGCCTTGGGAGATCAGTGAGGTAGATGACACACAGCAGGGACATCCGGAGAAGAGTTCACGGAGGGCTAAGAGCTTCAAGAGAGGCACCTGAGGTCTGTGGCCCCGGCTGCTGCGTCAACACCACACAGATCAAGACCCTGAAACCCCCCGTTTGCTACTTTCAGCTGCGTGACCTCCTTTTCTGAGCCTTCCTCATCTATACTCATCTAGGGCCAACATCATCTCTGAGAGAGCGCTGGGGATTCAGGAAGAGAACACATGAAGTGCTTGAGGCCAGAAAGCCCTTCGAAGCACCAATGGAATTCTGACAGGCAGTGATGGAGGAAGGACAGTCCACCGTGGGAATGAGAGGAGGGAATGTACAGCAGGAGAAACAAACAAACAGCATGTTCCAGAGAGCAAGCAAACCAGTGCCTGCAGGGTGGATCCCCGCAGGGCACAAGGTAGCCAAACTCAAACCTGGGCGGGAGTCACAGTGGGGAATAAAATGAATAGAATTAACATATTCTCCCCACTGCCCCCGAGCAGCTGGCAGAACATGGAAGATTAGGAAATCTTTACTGAATTCTGCTGAGTCTCAAACACCTACGAAAAGGTACAAAACTAAGTATTCATTGCTTTTCATAAATACCGAGTATATGAGGCCCAACTCAGACAAATTTCACAAAGAAGGCACTTAGAGTGGCCGGCAGAAGGCTCCGAGACCCTCCCTCCTTACTGCTGCCCAGGGGCAGTGCCGTCAGCCTACAGTGGGCTTGGGAACTGGCAGGGACCGCTACATTGTCACTCTCTGAGCCAGTCTCCTTCTAGCAGTTGAGCAAGCCTCGGCGGAGAGTAACTTAGCTGACGGTTACTTCATTCATGGAAGGAAAACCAGGGCCAACCCAGGACCGCCAACCAGCCCCAAAACTGCTACAAAGAAGGTCTTCATACTTGGGGTTCTTCTCCCCTGTGAGGGGTTGGTTGAGAGCTCTGGACTTGGATGGTGATGCTGACATGGCCTCCGGGGAGGAGGTGAGGCCTGGGCTGGGCTCAGTAATCTGGCTGTCCTCCTCCAAAACCAATCTGCTTATCGTCATTCGACTGTTCTTGGACTGCAGTTCTGAGCCTCCCTCACCCTCAGCAGGAGCTGAGTTTTCATGTTCATCTTTCCTGGGTCTCTTGTTTTTGTGGGTTGGTGATGATGGGGATGCTAGATTAGGAAGTACCAGATCTTTCTGGTCCAGTTTTGCAAAAGCCGCCTCTGAGTCTTGTGCAGTGGACAGAGTTTTGAAAGCTGCCTTCAGAGTTCTGATTCCAATGGTGGTTGGAGTGTTCCGAGGCTGTCTGCAAATAAAACACACACAGGAGAGTCAGTCTCCCCAGTGTGGAAGCACATACAAGTAGGCAGGACTCTGCAAAGATTAACCCTTCCAACAGAGGCCTCTTCAAGACTCTCCATCAAAATAAAACAAACAGGGGGTGGGGGTGGGGGTGGGGGTGAGGCAGCACCTGCTTCCTTTAAACAGCTGTTGTGTATAAATGCCTTCACTTAATGAGCACAGATCTAAGTTGAATCAATTTTAAATTCCAAACAAGAGAACCTTACAGGCGCCAAGGCCAACGCTATTCTCTGCAGAGGTCTCCAGCCTGCATGCTATCAACCCTTTTAGCCTGTATGATCAAAGCAATGTTTTCCATCATGTAAGAGCTCTGAGTAGTACCCGCCAACCTCACATCTACCTGGGCAGCCAATTGAAAACGCTACAGTCTCACTGAAATCTCCACTCTTTCAGCCATCCCAGTCCAACCCTCGTACGAGAAGCAACTAATGGTCTATACCCACAATACATTAGAAACAGTGGCTTGAGAATTCTGAGCAAGTGGTGTGCCATGTGATCTGGAAGCATGAGACTGACTTTTACAGAAATTTTATCGATCCTCTGGAACAGCTAATGAGGTTAGAGTAAAATCTGTCAGAAAAAGACCAACCTCCCCTGACAAGTATGTCGGACTGTCTAACATATACAAAGCTGTTTTCTAAAATCAACATTCAAAAGTTGCAGAGGACCCAATTCAGTTACCAGCACCTACACCAGGTGGCTTAATATCAGCTGTGACTGGGCAGTGGTGGCACACGCCTTTAATCCCAGCACTCGGGAGGCAGAGGCAGTCGGATCTCTGTGAGTTCGAGGCCAGCCTGGTCTACAAAGCGAGTTCCAGGAAAGGCACCAAGAGCTATACAGAGAAACCCTGTCTCGAAAAACCAAAAAAAAAAACAAAAACAGCTGTGTATAACTCTGGCTCCAGGAACTCCAATGCCCTCTCCTGGATTCCATAGGCACCCATATTCATCATACACACTCATGCATACAATTAAAAAATAAAATAAATCTGTTTAAAACCTGAGAAATCTAACCATACACAAAAAAGGACATCTCACACATAAATCCGAACTCAAGATTTGGAATGTTTAGACGCTCTCACAAAGTAGCAACTGCCCAAATCAGAAAACCCGGCCTGCCTCCTCTTTCTAGTGTCCTGTTTTGGACTGTATTATTTTAGGATCCATTTGGCCCTCCGTATTTCAAACCAGGGTGCTATGATTCAGATATGGTTTCAGTGAATCACATGTTGACATTGAACTCCTGGTTTGAATATGGGGGCCTCAGCAAGTAATGAGGATTAGAAAAGGCCATCAGGATAGAGCCCTACCAATGTGCTCAAGATCAGAGGACAGACAGACAGACAGACAGAGAGACACACACTTTCTTTCTTTCTTCCTTCCTTCCTTCCACTCCCCCACCCCACCCTCTCCCCCATCAATCAGCATGCCAGTAAGAAGACCATCACCTGCCTTTAATCCCAGCACTCCAGAGGCAGAGGCAGTTGGATCAAGGCCAGCCTGGGCTACAGAGTGAGTTCCAGGAAAGGTGCAAAGCAACACAGAGAAACCCTGTCTCGAAAAACCAAAAAAAAAAAAAAAAGAAGGCCATCACCACATATGGGCCCTCAAACTTCTAGTACTGTGGGCTAAACAAACCTTTTCTTCCATGATTAATAAAAAAGGACCAATACACAGGCCCCCAGAAGAATCTACACTTTTGACTTCCGTGTTAGGTCACCAGACTTGAGATTCCGACTTGTCTTCCTTCTTTCCTCTTCCTGAGAAAGGGTCTCACTATAGTGTAGTGACATTCCTGCTGAGCTGCACCTGACTGGCCCCAGAGTGAGCACCCAGCCCTAATCCATCTTTTGTCAGCAGACACCTTCTGTTTCCTTTGCTGCCCTCTATGCGAATCCTGTCTTGGGTCGCTACACCAGTGGAATGAAGACACAGAGGCATCTTAAGAATGAATTCAGCCTATCATGGCTGCAGGGGGTCCAGCCTTGAAGGACTGAAGCACTAACCCTTCGCCTCGGGCGGGCAGTTTTATTTCTCTCCAGTACAGTTTAGACAGTTAATTTCCATATGCTCAAAACAACCTGAAAGGGGCTCCCAACAATACAATGCCAAGTGCAAATTCCTCCGTTTGTCAGGTACCACAGTTTTCCGGGTTTCCTGAATCAAGTTTTGCATAGGCCTTTGTATTCTTGGGAAACTCAAGACAGGATTCACACAGAAGGCAACAAGGGAAACAAAAGTTGTCTGCTAAACAAAAGATGGATTAGGGCTAGGTGCTACACTCTGGAGCCAGGCCAGGTGCAGCTCAACAGGAATGCCACTACACTATATAGCCCAGGCTAGCCTCTAACTCAGAGCCTCTTGCCTCTGTCTCCTAAATGCTGGTATTAAAGCTATATGCCACCAGAGACAGGACGTCTCTGAGTTCAGGGCCAGCTTGGTCTACAGAATGAGTTCCAGGACAGCCAGGGCTACACAAAGAAACCTTGTCTCTAAAACCAACCAACCAACCAAACAAACAAACAAACAAAAGAGCTATGTGCCACCATGCCCAGCTCTGACTCATTTACTTGAACACCGCTTCCTGAGTGAATTCAAAGACAGTCATCGGGCCAGGCATGGTGGTTGACGCTGCCCCGCTTCACAGGGGAAGCTGAGGGAGTACTGCTGAGTTCCTGGCCCAACGGGCCACAAAGTGGGACTCTGTCTCCATAAAACGAAAGAAGTGTGCACACTGTGTGTGTTATAGGTGAGACAGAGAAGTACAACAGAACCTTTGGGGAAGTGCCAATCAGGATCTTCTCTTGGAGACCCCTAACCTCATTTTCCTAGGCCACGTTCTCTACCTCTCACAGTGTGCTATGCCAATAACCTGGTAATGTCATCAAATTCACTAAGAGAAACTGACCTTGAGCAATCACAAAAGGACATTCTCACCTTGAAGGCTCTCTAAGCGGCTTTTCCACTGGCTCCAGGACTGGCTGCTTTTCTTCCTTCCCTGCAGTTGAAGCAGCAGACTCAGATTTCAAAGCCTTCTTGGCCATCTGGGAAAGGAAGGGTGTCATTAGGAAGAGGAAGCTGCAGAAGTTCATTTAGTATCTGCTTCTTTCACCAAAAACCCACTCACTATGAAGCAATGCATTTACAAATCCATAAATTTACCGGCTGGAGGACACAGACGGGCACAGCACGACGGGACACCCTCAAACCTGTCTTCCTTATCACAATACAGTAACACTTCCATAGACGGCTAGCCACATTACGGAGGACTCTCTTGCACTGTACCTTTGTCCTTCCAACCTCAGTCCTATCTAGTCCCTGGTTCCCAAGTCTCTTTTGGAGTCAGGTATAAAACTTAAATTTTTTTCCCTACTTCTTCTTTAAAAATATGATTTTTTATATATTTTCATTTTCACATAGATGTGCACACACTTGCTGAGTTCATGTGTACCACATGCCCATGCAGGCCAGAAGAGGACACTGCCTGAAACTGGAGTTGCAGGTGGTTGTCAGCCACCTTGTGGCTGCTGAGAACCTAACCTGGGTCCTCTGCAAGAGCAGCGAGCCATCTTTCCTGGTCCCTCCTTTTTTTTTCCCCTTAGGTAGGGTCTCAGCATATAGTTCTGGGTGGTCTACAACTTGACAGATGGACCAGGCTCGCCTTGGACTTGCTGGCATCACAGGGGTGTGCCATCATGCCTGTTTGTTTGTTTCCCAGGTGCTGGCATCATAGGGGTGTGCCATCATGCCTGTTTGTTTCCCAGGTGCTGGCATCATAGGGGTGTGCCATCATGCCTGTTTGCTTCCCAGGTGCTGGCATCATAGGGGTGTGCCATCGTGCCTGTTTGTTTCCCAGGTGCTGGCATCATAGGGGTGTGCCATCATGCCTGTTTGCTTCCCAGGTGCTGGCATCATAGGGGTGTGCCATCATGCCTGGCTCAAAAGGTTTTTCAAAACTTAGGATAGTTTGTTATGTAACTTATTAACTGTATCTCCACAAATGTTTGTCTTACTGACAGCTATCTGAAAATCCTTACCAACACTGCACGGGAAGACCTAGGCAGGTCATTCTTGCCCTAACTCTGTTCCTCTGTCTCCCTCTTACTCTAAGTCTAGACTGTTCCACTCATTTTGGATACTGTGACTTGGTGTCTTAGATGAGTTCTACCCTCATATAAGGAGCAGCAGAGTATTTTCTAGTTACCCAAAATGCAAAGGAATGAAACACATCTAGACCAAAATTCCAGCATCCAGATGCTTCCTGGCTAGCTATTCCAAATACCTGTTTACAAGTGACCTGCGATCTGTGAAATAGCTGACAGGATCCATCACTGACACTATTCTAATAAAGGCCTCAGATCCCCCATTATGACAGGCTATTTTTAACATTATCAAAATCATGGCTCCCTGACTTTACTCTCTCTCTCTCTCTCTTTTTTTTTTTTTTTTTGGTGGTACTGGAATCAAACCCAGAGCCTTATACATACTAGACCAAGAGTTTTAATAAGCTACATCTCTAGTCATTAGGTTCTTTGGATAGGGACTTGCCATATAGGCAAGGCTAGCCTCAAAACTCATGCTCCTTACTGTACAGAGTAGTGGCGTGCCTTACCACGAAATCTAGAGTCCAACTAAACGATTATCTTCATAAGGCCAGTGCAGAATGGTGGCCCACACATTTAACCCCAGCACTCAGGAGGCAGAGACAAGTGGATTGCTGTGAGTTTGACGCCAGCCTGCTTTACATACTTTTCTAGGCTAGCCAGGGGTACATAGAGAGACCGTATCTAAAAAGGGATGGGGGTAAGCCGAGAGAACAGCTCAGCAGTGAAGAGCACTGGCTGCTCTTGTAGAGGACCCAACTTTGATTCTCAGCACCCACATGGTGGCTCACAATAATCAGTAACTCCAGCAGTCCCAGGGCATCTGACACCTTCTGGCCTCCATGAGCACTACATATCTGTGGTGCACAGGCATCTGTGGAGGCAAAAACATACATACACATAAAATAAAAAGAGAAGGCTAAAAAAGGATCACTTTCATCTGGCTCCTTTAGACTGTATCATACTTCTAATCTCTCCTCCCACCATTCCATATCTACCTCTCAGCTCAGATTTCACTACCTGTGGGAACCAGGATTGTAAGAGAAGGCTCTACTTTAACTACCAGATTGGTCCCACATAAAAGAGTCTCAAATGCAGGTGAGAGAAACCAGGTAGGTTCCATCATCTTAGGCATATGCTCATCTTAGGCACCTCACAGGTAGTGCACATAACACAGTCAATGTCACACCATTTTTTTCACTTCAAAACATGGTTATAGGAAGAAGAGAGGCTGAGGCACACCGTGAGGAGGTAGGGCTCCGTGTCATCCAGGTGGCTCTCCAGGAAACGCAACATCTTCTGCTGGAAGGTCTCATAGGAAAAGTTCTGGATAACAGGGTGGGCCAAGTTCTTCTCTCGGATAATGTTCAGGAGATCAGTTCTGAGCTTCTACATGAAAGATCGACGTTTGTAACAGGAGAAAGGAAGAGAACAGTAAAACTTCAGGGCTGGGCTGGGTCAGAGTACCACCAAAACATCTGCAGTACTTTCAGGCAACTCAAAGGATTGGCTCATCAATCATGGGTCAGCCACATGAGTGGGTTTCTATGTAGCTAGTCACAAAAAAGGACAAAGAGGCTCTATTACATGTTAATAAAAAATCCTGGGCTGGAGAGATGGCTCAGTGGTTAAGAGCGCTGGCTGTTCTTCCAGAGGTCCTGAGTTCAATTCCCAGCACCCACATGGTGGCTCACAACCATCGACAGTGGGATCTGATGCCCTCTTCTGGTGGCATAAAGTTGTATATGCAGATACAGTACTCATACAGAGCACTCATACATTAAATAAATAATCTTAAAAAAAATTAAAAGAAAATCCCTTGCTACAATAATAAGAAAAAAAAAGGATAAGTGTTCAGATCAGTGTGAAGCATCTGCCTGCATCCCACATGCGGAAGGAAAAAGAAAATGTGTTCACGTGTGCACATACAACAGACTTGCTTGTAGACAGTATCTCTGAAAGGATAAAAATAACAACGGCTGCCTCTGAGAGTGGGTGAAGGCCAAAGACGGGAATTTTCACTCAACTCTTTTATTACGCCCAGCTTCATTCTGACGTGTGTGTGTGTGTGTGTGTGTGTGTGTGTGAGAGAGAGAGAGAGAGAGAGAGAGAGAGAGAGAGAGAGAGAGAGAGATTGTCTGTCTGTCTGTCTGTGTCTTTGTGTAATAGCACAAGTATGAAGGTCAGGTGTTGGGTCTTGGGGATGGAACTCAGGGTGCCAGGCCTGTTGTCAAGTACCTTTACTGATTTAACAGGCCTTAGAATACCTTTTGAATTCTGTACTATCTACATGTTAGTTCTTCAAAGATAAAGGGGATTTTTGCTAGGCATGGTGGTACATGCCTTTAATCCTAGCATTGGGGAGGTAGAGGCAGGCAAATATCTGTTAATTTGAGGCCAGCCTGGTCTACATAGTTAGTTCAACAACAGCCACAGCTATATAGAGAGGCTCTGCCTCAAAACAACATCAAACAGGGATAGAGTGGGTTGTGTGTGTGTGTTTGGTGACAGGGTTCAAACTCAGGACATGTTAGGCAAATGCCCTGCCATTAAGGAATACTCCTCAACCTAAAACTTAAGTTTATAAAATAATACAAGTTGGGGGAAGAGAACCCAATTAAGGCTGTAGCTCAAAATGACTTCCACACTTTTCCAAAGTAGCCCTCCAAGTCTACAGGGCTAACATTTATATAGACAGGGCTAGAAGTCTCATACTTTTTGTTGATTATCTGGTACTGGTTACTTAAATGTTCTATCACAAAGACAGAACAAGAAAAACAAGTGGTTTATGAAAGGCCAGTCTCTGACACTCAAGCCAGTCTGTTACCTTAAAAATAAGATGTGAAGCATGTTTTAAGACTGTGTCTCTTAGGCTGGCCTTACAACTCTCTATATAGCCCAAGGCAGGCCCCAAGCTTGCAATTCTCCTTCCTAAGTTCTCAGAGGTTGGGATCACAGACAAGATGTTGGGTATTTAAAGGTGAATACTTAAATGACTTTTTTTGGGGGGGTGGGGTGGGGGATGGGGGTGGAGATACAAAGTCTCACTCTAGATCTGGCTGGCCTAGAATGCACTCTATAGACCAGGCTGGTCTTGCAAAGATCTGCCTGCATCTGCCTCCCCAAGTGCTGGAGTTAATGGTGTGTCCTACCACACCTGGGATAAATGTCAGTGTTAACGAAGAATCCTTTTCTTACTGCTCCACAAAAGACAGTAAGATGGATTAAGTCACAGGAATAAAAATGTATCAAATTTACCTGAGTTGTAGGGTCCTTGGACATGTATTTTTTCAAAATTTTTGAAGCCTTTTCAAATTCTTTGTTTTTGATACAAATAATGACAGCCTACAAAAGGGAGAAAAACTTAAAAGTTTTGTAATGACAGATGTCATTAGAATATCAAATATCAAAACATACTCTGCTGAGAAGCTAAATCTTCTTAACTACCTATGACTATTTTCACATCGTATCACATTTCTGCACTTAAAAGCCAACGTGACTGCTCAAGCACCAGGAGCAGCTGTTATGTGCAGCTTTTTGTTGTTTTTAATGCCTGAGAGAGCAAAGTTGGGTCCCTGGGGTTACAGACAGCCAATCTGAGCTGGATTGCCTAAGGAAAGACAAACAGACAGGAGTCATTCCAGAGGCCTAAAATTTCAGGTCCACAGAACAATTGATTCCAATCTTTTTGGGTACAAGAGCTTTGAAGCAGGGGTGGGGTGTGGTGAGAGGATATAATGTGGGCAAACGGACAAGCGATGTGCTCACCACAGCGTTCGGTGAGTTCTATTAAGGAAAGGGCTGAGGCCAACGCTGCGGAATGAGAAACAAGCCTCTTATACCACAAATGCCAGCTAGCTACTCTAGCTGGAGTGTGCAGGGCATTACTGAGACTGGCAAACATCTCACCCACAATAGCAGATTTAAAAACGACCAAGAGTCGGGTAGGACTAGATGTTTTTATCAGCCACAGAGGAAAAGGTTTCTGTAAAGAAACCCCGAGAGAATATCCACACAGGGAAAGGCAACAGTGCCTGGGTAACTGAAAGGAGACTTTTACATGCAATCCAGGGCAGATGGATCCGGTGCCAAATGCTCTTCAACAAGCAGGCATAATACCAATTCTTGGAGGATGCAAAATTAACCATCTTTTCCAATGATGTTTATTTACACATCATTTTCAGAATAAATATTATACTTTCTTAAATCAACACAGATTTTTCATAAGCCACACCAGTTCTATTAGGTTTAACTGTACTTAACTTGCACACAGCAAAACTGTTTAGGGTATATGGCACCAACTGTTAAGATGCCCAGACTTCTGTAACCACAAAATACAAAAGCAATACCCTCCCGTACCCCCTTTCTCAACTGCTCTTCTTGCTCCTTTGTGTCTTTGCAGCATTACAGGACTGAAGGGCACTGCTTCTGCTTTTGTCAGACAGGGTCTCATCCCCTCAAACCCTCCTGCCTCGGCCTCCCGAGAGCTGGGGAATTAGTCATTCACCACCAGACCGAGCTCTAGCACCAGCTGTATGAAGGATGTTTCTTTTACTCAGCACAATGCCCTCAAGCTCATCTTGTTGCCGGACTGTCAGAAGTTCAGTTTTCTTGCTGCTGAGCACTCTGTATTGTTTGGGATATATTATAGCTGACCCATTTATCCATTCAAGAACATCTGGAAGGGTCAGCTTTGATCACTGTGAACAGAGATGCTAACCACGGGTTTCTGTGTGAACAACTCTTAACTGAGGTAAATATGCAGGAGTGGGGTCCTTAGAGCAAATGTGTCCCGGGGGAAGCAGCAACCAAAGTGTTGATACAGAGTAGGTGTGCCACTTAACATCCCATCAGCGATGGCAACTGTTTCAGTCACCTGAATCCTCTCTAGCATCTTTTTTTTTTTTTTTCCGGTTTTTTTGAGACAGGGTTTCTCTGTGTAGCTTTGCGCCTTTCCTGGAACTCACTTGGTAGTCCACGCTGGCCTCGAACTCACAGAGATCCGCCTGGCTCTGCCTCCCAAGTGCTGGGATTAAAGGCGTGCGCCACCACTGCCTGGCTCTAGCATCTTTTAAAACCCCCACAAGAGTCCACAGTTCCTGGAGGTACTACAATACCGGCCGATGCATGGAGGAGGTGGAGTGAGCTCCTACCCTATCTCCGGACTCCAAAAATCCATTTACCATATCGTCCTTGGATAGATGAGAACGTACCAGGTATTAAATTGTTGAGAAAAGTTACCTGATCTTAGCCAAAAGGCTCAAAAGTGATCCCATAGCACTTTTTAACTATATAAATGTATCATGCTCATGTTCTAAAGTAAAGCAGAATTTCTTTGGAGTTATTTATAAGTTTGGCCATCTAACTGGTTCCACACAGCAGGCAGGGTTGTCTGCTTTGATGGTACTGGACACTGAACCTAGGTCTTACACCCACTACAAAAATGAGCTTTAGTCTCAGCCCTTTGTAAATTAAAAAAAAATAATCTTTAGTTATGTGCCCATGGACATGGGTGGGTCTGTTGTGAGCACTGGTATCCACAGAGGTGTTGGGTCCCCCTGGAGCTGGAGTTACAGGTGTGATCTAATGTGTGTGTTGGGAATACAGCTCAGATCCTCTGCAAGAGTAGTACATGCGCTCTCTCTCTCTCTCTCTCTCTCTCTCTCTCTCTCTCTCTCTCTCTCTCTCTCTCTCTCTCTCGCTCTTTTTTGGTTTGAGACAGGGTTTCTCTGTGTAGCTTTGGTGCCTGTCCTGGATCTCACTCTGCAGCCCAGGCTGGGCTCGAACTCACAGAGATCCACCTGCCCCTGCCTCCCGAGTGCTGGGATTAAAGGCATACAGTACATGCTCTTAACCTGAGTCATTTCTCCAGATCTCTTTTTGAATTTTGAGACAGGGTTTCACTAAGTTGCTAACTACCCTCGTACTTATTCTACAGCCTAGGCAGGCCCAGAATTTACAATCCTCCTGCCTCAGAACTGAGTGCCTGAGACTACAGACCTGTATCACGAGAGCACTCATAGTGGCTTTAGTTTACAATTCTTTAATGAAGTTGAACATCATTTCACGGGTGCCTTAAATTTTTTTTTAAAAGCAGGGCATTGTATACACCTCTATCACAGAACTCAGGAAGCAGAGGCAGATGAATTCATAAGTTCAAAGCCAGTCTGGCATAAAGTTTCAGGCCATCGAAGGCTATATAGTGAGATCCTGGCCTCAAGAAACTAAAAATCAAACTACATTGCTGTATGGGGTGAACACCCACCGCAAATGAGAAGTCAGAGAACAACACACAGATTTTCCCCAACCACGTGAGTCCTGGGGACTGAAGTCAGGCTGTCGGGTGTGGTAGCAACTGCCTTTACCCACCGAGCCACCTCACCCACCACAGCTGCTTTTTGGTTGGCTTGTTTTGGCCGTCGTTTGAAGACAGACCCTTACCATGAAACTCAGACCGACTTGTCATCTTCCTGCCCCACTGCCCCAGAACTGAGGTTACAGGTGGAGTCGGTACTCAGGCTTCGCTATTTATGGCTATGCTTTTTGCCCCCTTAAAAAAAGTAGATTTTGGGGTTGGAGAGATGGCTCAGTGGTTAAGAGTGCTCGCTGCTTTGTAGAAGACCAGAGTTCTAGTCCCAGCACCATGCCAGGAAGCTCACAACTGCCTATAATGCAAGCTCAGGGAAATCAAAGGCCCGTTCTGGCCTCTGTGGGTACCTAACACACACACACACACACACACACACACACACACACACACACACACACACACACACACACTTTATCTATTTATTTTAAATTAAAGATCTTTTTAATCTTTATTCTTCACATTTTTCTCCATAGATGCATGTGTACCACGTGTATACCCGGTGCCCGTAGAAACCAGAAAGGGGTTGGATCATCCAGCACTAGAGCTACAGGTAGCTCTGAGTGGGTGCTGGGAACCAAATCCAGATCCTCTGGAAGAGCTCTAAGTGCTCATAACCACCAAGTCATCTTTCTGGCCCCCACATATTAAAACAAAAAAAAAAACATGTACTAGCCTTTGGGAGGATCAGGAGTTCAAGGGTCATCTTTCAGCTACTTACCAAGCTCAACAAAGAGCCTTGTTTTATCTCAAAACAAAACAAAAAGATAATATAGTTTTAGAAGTTGGCTCAGTCGTTAAGAACACTTGTTCTTACAGAAGACCCAGGTTCAATTCCCAGCACCCACATGGCAGTTCACAACCATACCTCCAGGTCCAAGGGATCCAATGTTCTTCTGACCTTGGTGGGCACCAGGGATGCACATGGTCCACAGACATCCAAGCAAGCAAAACACTCAAACACATAAAAATGAAGTAAATCTCATGGCTGGAGAGATGGCTCAGCATTTAAGAGTACTGACTGCTCTCCCAGAGGACCTGGATTCAGTTCCCAGCACCCACATGACAGCTCACAATTGTCTGTAACTCCATGATCTGACATCCTCACACAGGCATACATGCAGGCAAAACACCAATGCACAAAACATAAAATCAAAATAAATAAATTAGCTGGGCAGTAGTGGTGCACGCCTTTAATTCCAGCACTCGGGAGGCAGAGGCAGGAGGATCTCTGAGTTCTAGGCCAGCCTGGTCTACAGAGCAGTTTCAGAGCAGCCAGGGCTACACAGAGAAACCCTGTCTCAAAAAAACAAAACAACAACCAAAAAATGGGGGAAGGGAGAGACCGAGACCAATGTTGGGTCAATATAAACACTTTTCATATTCAGGATTTTCTCTTTCTCATCTTCTTTATTTTCTCTCTTCTTTTTTCTTTTTTTTTTGTATTTTTTTTTTTTTTTTTTTTTGGAGACAGAGTCTATGCCTGTCTATGTCTGACACTCACTATGTAGACTAGGCTGGCCTGGAACTCATGTCAATCCTCCTGCCTCAGTCTTCTGTGTGCCTTCATACCCAATGGGAAGAATGGTTTTGTGTTTGTTTGTTTGTTCTGAGACAGGGTTTCAACTGTGTAGCCCTGGCTGTCCTGGCACTCACTCTGTAGATTGCCTTGCCTCCCCAGTGCTAGGATTGAAAGCATGTGCCACCACCACCCATCTCGAAAGAATAGCCATTTCAGAAAACTGTTGCTCTTCCTTGTCTTTAAACTTTCTTGGGTGGTGGTACTGGGAACTGAATCTGGGGCCTTATAAATGGAGACAAAGTGACCCGCTGCAGAGCTACCCCACTGGCCCTTATTTTTAACACACTTTCATTACTTATCGTGTGTCCATGCATGTGTACGAGCCTGTGTGCCACGGAGCTCCTGAAGGTCAGAGGACAGCATGTCTAGTTGTTTCTCTCCTCCTACCATGGGGCTGGGGCTGGGAGTATCAAGCTCTGGTGGTCAGGCTTGGCAGCAAGTGCCTTTACCTGCTGAACCATCTCACTCTCCCCCCTTTTTTGAAAACAGGATCTCATTAAGTTTACCATGCTGACCTTGAACTTGTTCCAGTCTCCTTAACAGCCTGGATTTTTTTTTTTTTGTTTGTTTTTTGAGACAGGGTTTCTCTGTGTAGCTTTGCGCCTTTCCTGGAACTCACTTGGTAGCCCAGGCTGGCCTCGAACTCACGGAGATCCGCCTGTCTCTGCCTCCCGAGTGCTGGGATTAAAGGCGTGCACCACCACCGCCCGACACAGCCTGAATTTTTTACAGGCCCTCATTAGTCCCACTCTTATATCAAACTTTAACAAGTGAACTTTCATTCAAAAATTTTTACTTTGCTGGGTGGTGGTAGCACTGGCTTTTAATCCCAGCACTTGGGAAGCAGAGACAGGCGGATCTCTAAGTTGAGGCCAGCCTGTCTACAGAGTAAGTTCCAGGACAGCCGGGGCTACACAGTGAAACCTGGTCTCAAAACATACTCCCCTCAAAAATTTTATTTTATGTGTATGGGTGTTTTGCCTGCATGGATGTCTGTACGCCATGTATGTGCAGTGCCTGAGAAGGCCAGAAGGAGGCATTAGATCCCCTGGGACAGTATAGTTATAGCATGTTGTGAGGTACCATATGGATTCTAGGAATAGAACCAGGAGCCTCTGGAAGAGAAGCCAGTACTCTATTTTATTTGTTTTTGGTTTTTTGAGACAGGGTTTCTCCGTGTAGCCCTGCTGTCCTGGAACTCACAGAGATCTGCCTGGCTCTGCCCCCCCCCCCCCCCCCCCCCCCCCCCCCCCCCCCCCCCCCCCCCCCCCGCCCTGAGTGCTGGCATGAGCCAGCATCGCCTGGCCTCCTAGACCCTATTTTATTTTATTTAATTTTTTATAATTTTATGGTTGGGGGTTACCACAATATGAAGAACTATATATTTTTTAAATTGCTTTGTTTTGTTTTTTTGTTTTTGTTTTTCGAGACAGGGTTTCTCTGTATAGTTTTGCGTCTTTCCTGGAACTCACTTTGTAGACCAGGCTGTCCTTAAATCTTTTTTTTTTTTTAATTTAACTCTTTTTTACATGCCTTGGCATTTTGCCATGGCTGGAGTTACAGACAGTTGTGAGCTGCCATGTGGGTGCTGGAGATTGAACCCAGGTCCTCTGGAAGAGCAGTCAGTGCCCTTAACCTCTGAGCCATCTCTCCAGCCTCCAGACCCTATTTTAATATCTTAAACACTTTAAAATAAATGATTGTGCCCAGTGTGATATTGTCTTTAATCCCAGCGCTTGGGAGGCACAGAGGCAGAAGGCCTCCTGAGTTCCAGACCAGCCTGGTCTACACAGCAAGTTCTAGGCCAGTCAAGGCTACATAGTGAGACCCCTCCTCAAAAAAATAAATAAATAAATTACTAGAACACTTTACAAAGCTTAGATGAACCTAGGCATCCCATAGTATTTTCTAAGATGACCATTAGGAGACTCTAGGACACTAAATGAGAAATCCAGAAAGTGTCATTTAGTAACCAGGGGATCAAAGTAGTTGTGACCCAGGCGCTAAAGCAGTCCTCAGAGATCCTGACCTCCTGATAGTCCCATGTACACTATCCCACAGCTGGTCTAAAGTGTGAGTCCTGCTAATAGGCACATCAGAGTGTGGGTTAGATCTCTCAGACCCGAGACGGGATCTTCTTAGCTTAGGCCTGCTTGCAACTCAAGATCCTCCCACCTCAGCCTCCTGAGTACCAGAATTTCAAATTAGCATCACCACTGCCAGCACCAGCTGAGTCTTGAAATGGCTGTAATTGTGTTTATTTACTTATTTATTTCTGCAGTGCTGAGGATTGAATACTAGGCATGCTAGTACTGAATGCTAGATTGAATACTTTGTACCATGCTAGGCACAAAGACTACCACTAAGCCACAGCACCGCAACTCCAGCTGACAGCTTGACGATAACCTTACTGGAAATCCTGGGCCAAACCGACTTAGGTAGGCCACAGCTTCCTGACCTTTGGAAACTAAAGGCTAGTAGTCACTCTTTTGGCGGCTAAGTCTGAGAGCAATTTGTTATATTGAAGTAACAAATGCAGAAGGACTAGGAATGCAGCTCCATAGTGGAGCGCTTGCCTAGCACACATTCAATAATTTTATTTTCAGAAGGTGTAATATGTGCACATAATACAACATTCAAAAGACATAACAAGAGTTTAGTGAAAATTCCTTTCTCTGACCTTTGCACAGCACTGTTAAAAAAAACAACAACCCAAGGCAGCCAGGCATGGTGGTGCATGCTTGTAATCTCAGCACCCAGGAAGCAAAGGCAAGAGGGATAGCAAGTTCCAGGACAGCCTGGGCTACACAGAGAGTTTCAGGACAGTCAGGGACACAGAGTGAGACTGTTTCCCCTTCTCCAAACCACAGTAATATACAAGTATAAGACACAGCCTGGTAGACTGAAAACACATGGAAGCCACAGAAGAAAACGGCTGACTATTTTAAAGTTTAGATTAAACAAAAAAATCATTGTTATTCTATGCCTATGGGTGTTTGGTCTACACACATGTCTGAGCAATACATGCATGCCTGGTGCTCCAGAGGGCCTGGGACTGGAGTTATGGTTATAAACCGCCATGTAGGTAGTGAGAACTGAACTTGGGTTCTTTGAAGGAGCAGCCAGTGTTCTTAACCACTGAAACCACTGAGCCATCTCTCCAGCCCCAGGGAGTTTAGATTTCACTGACAGACATTACAAACAAATGTTTAAAACATGAACTTTGTCACTTAGCTGGTTGTGGTAGTAAAGCCTGCAATGCCAGCACTCAGGAGGCTGAGGCAAGAGACCGAGGCCACTCTACATATAATAAGACCCTCTCTCAAAACAAGACCCCCCCAAATAAACAAAAACAGGAAGAGATCCATGTGCTTAAGTAATGAAATTATAATGTATGTATGCCTTCAAAGACTCACTGACAAGATAGGCCAGATGACAAAGTCAAATCCCTTGTTTATAAAGGGATTGAATAAATTACTCTGAACTAGTAACATTTCTTCCATTCAGAAGAACCTGAGCTGTTCTCAAAGTACCCTTGGGTTTCTCCTCCATTGTTAATGACTTTTCTGGCATTTAACCCTCAACACAAACCTGACTTCCCTATACTAAAAATCTATAAAGGGCTTATTCTTCCTTGAACTGAATAATAATTATCCAAGTATTCTTTGCAAGACTAACCAGAAGTTCCTGCTCCAGGTTTAACTGAACAGGTATCTGTACCCAACGCACATTAGATTTTTAAAAAACAGGATATTTGAGTACCCTAGACACGGTCAATGTCTTCCTTGTGAAACAAGGTTTTCTCCCTCTACCCTCCTCCACCTCTAAGATCTCGTCCTTTTCAGGAGTTCTCTTTTCTCCTATTACCCTAACTTTCCTTTACCAAGGCAATGCTGAGCTGCCATTCCATCCCTACCTCTGCATCTGCTTCCATGCCCCTAGCCTCGGTTATTGAAGAAGGAAAACCCACTTCTACGCTTTAAGAGTTCCACTAGAAGCAATCTGGCTTTGACATTCTAGAATACTCTCTGCACTTTTCTCTTTCTGGCTTGTGATAGACAATGGTGACCAAACCCAGGACCAGAAAAGGCTGGGGCCTCTTCTCAGTGCTCCTGAATGGTACAATAACTTACAAAACAGCAGTCTTCAATGTCAACCCACTTCCCAGTGCAATGGTCCCTCCTGCCAAGGCCACAAAGACTAAAACTAGAGCCTGGGTGAGAAAGCAGACACGTGAAGAGAGGATATGTTGCTTGCCCCCACCCACCCACACCCACACAGAGAAGATTCTACAACACGTCCTCAAGAACCCCCAATTTTTGCCAGATGAAAAAATAAAACATTAAGAACAGTGTCTTACAGCCTTTTTGACCAGTTTCCTACTGGATTCCACCACTGCTTCTGTCAGTGTGAATTCTGTTTTAATCATCTCCAGCACATTGATAGCCGATTCCAGGGGTGTGAGCTCGGCCTCCATATCAAAGGAGCAGTCTAGGACAAAACACAGGACTCACTTCAAGCTCTTTCCTAAGGAGCAGCACACATGTCCAAAAAGTAGATACAGTTTTCTATGGAAGCATGAAGACACCCAAAGCCTCATTTGCATAAAGGACCATGCAAACCAAGCATCTAGTCCCAGCACTCAAGAGGCAGAGGCCAATCTGGTCTACACAGTGACAGTCAGGGCTATGTAAACAGATCCTGTTTAGTAATAATAAGCCATGCAAACCCGTTAGGGGAGGCAGAGGCAGGCAGATCTCTTTGAGTTCGAGGCCAGCCTGGTCTACAAAGCAAATTCCAGGACAGCCAGGGCAACACAGAGAAACCCTGTTTTGAGAAAAATAAACAAATAAAAGATTTGCATTTATTTTGCTTATGTGCTTGTGATTATGGTCCCAATTTAAATTAACCAATTTTATTTTTGTTTGTTTTTCGAGACAGGGTTTCTCTGAGTAGCTCTGGTTGTCCTGGAACTCCCTCTGTAGATCAGGCAGGCCTCAAACTCAGAGATCCCCCTGCCTCTGCCTCAGTACACCCAGCTTCAAATCAACGTATTTCAGGTGACTTTCAATACTTTTCAACACTGCTCAACTGAAACACATACATTTGCCTCTAAAATCCAGAATAACACATTTGTGAGATAGAAGTGGCCAACACTGGAAGACAATTTGTTAAGCAGCTGCCAAGTTCAACTGGGGGTGTGTGGGGAAGGTGGGGGGTTTTCATGCTCTACTACGGGGAAAAAGAGGGGGAAGGATGTGTCCTTAAGGATGTAACTTATTTTCAGCAACAAAAACGGGTGTGCAATTAACAGGTGGGAGAAAACAAAAAAAAACCACATAAAACTAGCCAAGAAATCTTAACTGGAGAAAACTACAACCAGGGAATTCAACCACCATTGAACGAAAAAGACCTCCGCGGTGCAAACAGTAGTGCACTTTAACCCGGAATCTTTCAGTCCCGGATGTTAAGTTTGAAAATAACAAAACCCTACGTAAGTGAGCCCAGAAAAGAACACAAAAAATAGCCATACCTAAATTTTCCCCTTCTTCAATGCGCGACAGACACTGCATAACTCGCAGCAACCGGGACACCGTATGCTCCTTCCCCAAAGGCCTGACAAGCAACGCTGGGAAAGAAGACATGGTTGGCTCCGCGAGCCCGGAGACCCCAAGGCATGCACCCACAGACCTTCCTTCTCCCCGCGGCCCCGGGCCGGCCCTCACCCTGCATGATGTCCCGGATCTGCCTGAAGTCCCCGTACCGGCTACTCCGAAAGGCCCGCAGCGCCTCGTGGAAGTAGAACTTGAGCACCCAGCGGTTGACCGCCTCCTCCAGCTGCGCTTCCCCCCGCGCGCCCCGCTCCGACGCGCCTCCCAGCCCCGGCTCGTGCCGCCCCCGTCGAACCCGCCCGCCGCTGCGCGATGCCCGCCGGCCCCGCCGCCCGCCCGCCGCTGTCGCTGCTCCCGCCTCCTCCCGCCATCGTGCTCGATCGCCGCGCGCCCTCCCCGCCCTCCCGGCTGGGCCGTTTCCTTGGCTGTGACGCCATCGGGTCACGCACAACGCCCGGGCCGGAAGCAGAGCCCGCTGTCCCGGCTCCCGCGGCCATGATACCGACGGGGTTCCAAGCCGCCCGCGGGCTTCTGGGAGGGAAAGGACCGAGAGGGGGTACACAATCCCCCTCCTCGGCCACCGTAGTTCCCGTTGTGTCTGGCGCAATGCCTGCTGGGGATTGAAGTCCACACAATCCAGCCGGGCGCATTGTTTTGAAGGTTATGCTACTGACACGGGACACTGAAAATATGAAAAATAATCGCATGCATATTATTAGACATGTTGCAAATTGTGTAAAGCAGTATAATAGAGAAAAGGTTGCTTTGTTTTGAGACAGAAACTCACTATTGTATCCTTGGTTGGCCTGGAACTCATGATATAGATCCGACTGACATGGAACTCTGCCTCTGCCTCATAGTGCTGAGATTAAAGGCTAGTGCCACCATGGTCAGCCTTTGTTTTTGTTTTTGTTTTGTTTTGTTTTAATTAAAAAAAATTTGTAACGTGGGTTTATTCTCGGAATTAACTCGGGTCCTCGCGATTCTACAGCAAGCACTACATCAATTATTCGGTCTCCCCATCCCCCAGTAAAAATTTATTTTAAGACAGGTCCTGCAAAGTTGCCGGGCTAGCTTTGAACCCGCTTCAGAGCCCAGGTGCAATAAGACTTTGGAGCCTCTTTCTGAAGCAGTCCTAGCTATGGCAATCAAAGCTTCTTGGTGAGCCCAGCCTGCTTGCCTTACTTAAAAGGAGCAAAATTATCCACCTTCACATCCTGACAGTTCTACTTGTTACTGTATCAACCTTGAGCAAATTACTTTCCCTTTTAAGTGTCTCTTCCCCTTTCCGTCAAGGGTACATAATGAAGGTACCTCACAGGATTGTATTAAAATGAGATGATGTAGTATTTCTGGTGCCTGTAACTCAGGGCTGTAGTAGAATATTATTATTATTATTATTATTATTATTATTATTATTATTATTATTATTATTATTATTATTACTATTGGTATTTTCGAGACAGGCTTTCTCTGTGTAGTTTTGGTGCCAGTCCTGGATCTTGCTCTGTAGACTAGGCTGGCCTTGAACTCACAGAGATCCTCCTGGCTCTGCCTACTGGGATTAAAGGAGTGCACCACCACCACCCAGCTGTAGAATATTATTTTAAGATGTGTTACTTTTCTTTTTTATGTTGTGGAACATTTGTTTTAATGATGCAAAGATGTGTTGCATTCTTTTTTTTTTAAAGATTTATTTTTTTATTATGTACACAGAAGAGGGTGCCAGATCTCATTACAGATGGTTGTGAGCCACCATGTGGGTGCTGGGAATTGAACTCAGGCCCTCTGGAAGAGCAGTCAGTGCTCTTAACCTCTGAGCCATCTCTCCAGCCCATGTGTTGCATTCTTTTATGTTGCATTTGTTTAACTCTGTGAAACTGTGTTACTTTGCCTGTCTAAAATACCTGATGCTCTAATAAAGAGCTGAATTGCCAATAGTGAGGCAGGAGAAAGGATAGGCAGGGCTGTCAGGCAGAGAGAATAAATAGAAGGAGAAATCTGGGCAGAAAATTTAAGAATAAGAGAACAAGGAGAGGAGGAGGCTAGGGGCCAGCCACCCAGTCACATAGCCAGCTACAGAGTAAGAGTGAAAGTAAAATATACAGAAGTAAGAAAAGGAAAAAGCCCAAAGGCAAAAGGTAGATGGGATAATTTAAAGTTAAGAAAAACTAGCAAGAAACAAGCCAAGCTAAGGTCAGGCATTCATAAGCAAGCTGGGTGGTGGGATCCCAAAAGAGCAAAAACAACCATCAACACAGGGCTCAGCTTGTAAGGGTTCAACAAAGATTTTGTGTGGTGTGTATGTACATGGAGATCCACGGAAAACTTTTACAAACTATTCTGTCTCTAGCACTGTAAAAATAAACGTCCCTCCCTTCCTTTCTTTTTTCTCCATACAACTTATATAAAGCGCACAAGTCTCAGCCAGATGTGGTGCCTGTAACCCACCTTTTGGGGTAGTAGAATTTACAAGATTGAGGTCAGCCCAGGCTACCTAGTCAGATCCTGTCTCACAAACAGGTGAAACAAAAGCCCCTGTAATTCCAGCACTTGGGAGATGGAGACAGGAGGATTTGGAGTTCAAGGCCAGCAAGGACACCACATGAGACACTATCAGGAAGGAAGGCAGGCAGGTGGGCAGGCGGGCATCTCATTTAGCTCAATCTGAAGTGCACACCTTCATGAGGATTCTCATTTTTCATTTATTGCTTTTAAAACAAGCCTAACGTAGCCATGTTGACCTCAAACTCCCAAACCTCTCATACCTCCATCTCCCAAGTTCTGATATTCCAGAACACCTGGTACTGTTCTAATTTTGAAAGCCCAGTGTTACATGGTTGAACCCATGTTTATCTACCACAAATACACCGTCATAGGGAACTCCTCTGTGGGACTCGGTTGTTTCAGAAGCTCCAGTTTTCTCCACTAGGGGGCAGAGTGGTGTAAGGGAAAAGTCATCTCAGGGTTAAGAACAGGCTGATCCTGGATCTCTGTTTTACCGGCTTAGGGTAAGAATTTAAGCTTTGGGCGTCTAATTCCCCCCCCCCCCCCCCCCCCCCCCCCCCCCCCCCCCCGTCTACTTGAGAGTCCAGACTACCAAATGGACAATTTATAGAGCTGTAATTAAGATGTGAACAAGAAATAAGTTAATGCCTGCAAAAACTGCCCAATCCTGGTGCAATTAGCAATGTTCCTTTTTTCTTTCTTTCTTTTTTTTTTTAAATTTATTTATTTATTATGATACAGTGCTCTGTCTGCATGAGTCCCTGCAGGCCAGAAGAGGACGCCAGATCTCATTACAGATGGTTGTGAGCCACCATGTGGTTGGAAGGAATTGAACTCAGGACCTCTGGAAGAGCAGTCAGTGCTCTTAACCACTGAACCATCTCTCCAGCCCGTGTATGAGTGTTTCTATGTGTGTGGAAGTGCATGTGCACATGTGTGCACAGTGTATGTGTAGGCCTGAGGTAGACATAGGTATCTTTCTTTTACTTTTATTTGTTGTTTTTATTTTGTAGAAGTTTCTTACTATGTAGCCCTGGCGGGCCTGAAACTTTCTATGTAGAGCAGGCTGTGTTTGAACTCACAGAGATCTGCCTGCCCCTGTCTTTCAAATGTTAGGGTTAGAGACACTCAGCCCCAGCAAGGTTTTAAAAATTAATAATATCCATTGTCAGGGAAGGTGCTGTACAATAGGTACTTTCACCCATGGATGGTGGGAGTGTCAATACAACCTTTCCAGAGAGGAACTCATATAAAGAACAAGGCCCCAGAAGGCCACACACATTGCATCTTTAGAAATTATTCCTGGATGGAGACTCATAAATGAGCACCACGATTTAAAGACTTTTCATCAGTGGTTACTAATACTGTAGAAAAAAATACAACCAAAAAGATCTGATAATAGAAGTTTTAAATAAATCGTGATGTGTATCATGCCTAGGAATCTTATGCTGTGATTTTAAAAAATGGCACCCTTGTTAAAGTAACTAAATAACTAAGTGTCCAACCATAATTTCATGCTCGAGGTATAAAGGAAGGAAAAGGAGTAGAGCAACAGAAATATTTATTATATAAATAATTTCTGGATCAGGGGCTATTGGTGCATGCCTGTCATCCTAGCTGAGGCTCAGGCAGAAGGATCTCAAGTTCCAGGCTTGTCCAGCTGGCCACAGAGCTGGTTCAACCGGAACCTGGGCAGCTTACTAAGACTTTCTGTCAAAATAAAAGTAAACAAACAAACAAAAACAACAAAAGAGAGAGAGGGCCGGCAAGATGGTTCAGGATATGGGTGTTTGTGCATAGTTCTGACGACAGCAATTTCAGTCCCTGGATTCCACCAGGTAACAAGAGAGAATCGATTCACACGCACACGCACACGCACATGTATGCACAGACAGGACTGGGAGTGGGATGTGATGCCACATGTGTGTTAGCACTTGGGAGGCATAATTGCCTGGTCTACATACCAAGTTTTAGGCCAGCCAGGAAACCACACCAAGAAGACAAAACAAAAAGTGGGACTGGAAAGACGGCTTAGCTGCTAAGAGGGTATGATGCTCTTCCAGAGGAGTTAGGTTCATTTTCTAGCACCCACATCTGTACAAACACCTATAACTCCACCACCAGGGTATCCAATAACTTCTGGCCTCTTCTGACTTTGTGTACATGGTATACATAACATACATTCAGATAGACACACACACACACACACACACACACACACACACACACACACAAAATTAATAAATAAGGGCTGGAGAGATAGCTCAGCCATTAAAGGTTAGGTTCACAATCAAAAATGTAAGTAAGAGTTCCGTTTTCAGGATCCACAACTGTCTCTCCAGCCATAAAAATAAGTAAGTAGGGCTGGAGAAATGGCTCAGTGGTTAAGAGCACCGTCTCCTCTTCCAGGGGTCCCAAGTTCAATTCCCAGCAACCACATGGTGGCTCACAACCATCTGTAATGGGATCGGATTCCCCTTTCTGGTGTGCATGAAGACAAGTCACTCATATACATATTTGACTTATTAAATATTTCATTTAATAAAATAAATCTTTTTTTTGTTGTTGTTTTGTTTTTCCACAGGGTTTCTCTGTGTAGCTTTGCGCCTTTCCTGGAACTCACTTGGTAGCCCAGGCTGGCCTCGAACTCTGGCTCTGCCTCCCGAGTGCTGGGATTAAAGGCGTGCGCCGCCACCGCCCAGCAAATAAATCTTTTAAAAAGTAAATAAATAAATCTTTAAAAAAGTCAAATGCCGGGGCTGGAGAGATGGCTCAGAGGTTAAGAGCACTGGCTGCTCTTCCAGAGGTCCTGAGTTCAATTCCCAGCAACCATATGGTGGCTCACAACCATCTGTAATGAGATCTGGTGCCCTCTTCTGGCCTGCAGGCATACATGCAGGCAGGACACTATATACATAATAAATAAATAAATCTTAAAAAAAAAAAAAAAAAAAAAAAAAAAAAAGTCAAATGCCGGGCGGTGGTGGCGCACGCCTTTAATCCCAGCACTCGGGAGGCAGAGCCAGGAGGATCTCTGCGAGTTCGAGGCCAGCCTGGGCTACAGAGTGAGTTCCAGGAAAGGCGCAAAGCTACACAGAGAAACCCTGTCTCGAAAAACCTAAAAAAAAAAAAAAAAAAGTCAAATAAATAAATAAGTAAAAACTACAAAAACAGCCGGGTGGTGGAGGCGGCAGTGCACGCCTTTATTCCCAGCACTCAGGAGGCAGAGGCAGGCAGATGTCTGTGAGTTCGAGGTCGAGCCTGGTCCACAGAGAAAGTTCCAGGACGGGCTCTAAAAAGCTACACAGAGAAACCCTCTCTTGAAAAACCAAATAAATAAATAAATA